TTCTCCTGTTGCTGCTGCTGCTGCTGCTGTTGCTGCTGCTGATTATATTCCTGCTGCTGAGTATGCTGCTGCTGCACGTGCTGCTGCTGCTGCTAATAATATTGCCGTTGTTAATCATATTGCTGCTGCTTCCCGTGTTGCTGTCCGTAATGCTGTTGCTGCTGCTGTTGCTGCTGCTGCTGCTGCTGCTGCTGCTGCTGCTGCTGCAGCAACGAGCAGCAAGTATAGCCTCTATAGTTGGATATACAAGAGAGGAGACAGTATATACACCAAGAAGCAAGAAGGAGGAGAAGAAAAGGAGACAAAAGACACAAGAAAAAGAAAAAGAATTAAATATTATTGGGTATAATATAAAGACAAGAGAAGGACCATCTAATTTTAATCCTTCATATTCTGCTGCTGCTGCTGCTGCTGCTGCTGATCGTGCTGCTGCTGCTGCTGCTGCTGCTGTTTCTGCTGCTGAGGATGACGAAGAAACGATCTCTACACCATTTATAGTTGTTACTGCAGCAGGAGAGGGAGATGCTGCAGCAGCAGCAGCAGCAGCTGCTGCTGCTGCTGCTGCTGCTGTTCCTTTTTGATGGGCAAGATGTCCTGCTGCAGCAAATGCTGTTGCAGCAGATAGGAAGGATATAACTATATTAGCAGCAGCAACAGCAGCAGCAACAGCTGTAGGATTATGCTGCTGCTGCTGCTGCTTCTGCTGCTGCTGTTTGCTGCTGCTAGCAGCAAAACTATTAATTGTACCTAAGAAGACACCAAGAGAGAAGAAGACTTGGCTTGCTGCTGCTGCCCATAGCTCGCTGCTGCGCAGCAGCAGCAGCAGATCTACATGCAGCAACTTTAATAAACCTGCTGTTCCTCCTGGTAGTGCAGCAGCAAATGCAGCAACAAGCAGCACACTAATTGATGGCAGCAGCACAGCAATCCATCTAAATGCTGCAGCAGCAGACCTCATCCTCTTGCTGCTCCTCCTTCTCCTTCTTCTCCTGCTGCTGCTGCTGCAGCAGCAGCAGCAGAATACAAATACCCATACCAGCAGCAAGCATACAGATGTCCAAGGGAAGGCAGCAGCACTAAACATTTCTCCTGCAAATCCTCCTTGTCCTGCTCCTGCTGCTGCTGCTGCTTCTGCTGCTGCTGCAGCAGCAGCAGGATCAGCAGCAGCAGCAGCAGCAACAGCAGCAGGAGATGGATATGGTTGCTGCAGCACAACATGAGAAAAGAATGCTGCTGCTTTTGCTTCTGGATCAGCAACACATCTCCCCCCTAAACCTTCTGCTGCTGCATTTGCTGCTGCATTTGCTGCTGCATTTGCTGCTGCTGCTGCTGCTGTTGCAGTAGCTGCTGGATCTGTTGCTGGATCTGCTGCTGTTGCTGTTGCTGCTGCAGGTATCCATGTACAGAAGAATCTTTTTGCATGCACACTCTGGCATATGTGCTGCTGCTGCAGCTGCGGTGCAGCACAGAAATGTATCTCGGGTGTACGTACACCCCAAGGTAATTGTGGGTGTAGTGCAGCAGCAGCAGCAGCAGCAGCAGCAGAATAGATACAACCCCAGGATAAGAAATTAGTATAATAAGAAGAGATGCAGCAAGACAGCAGCAGCATGCATACAGCAGCACCATGCAAGGAAGGAGACAGCAGGTGCAGCACCCTTATTGTCCCCCCCCTAAATATATTATATAAGGAGACCTCTAGGGACAGCAGCGGGAAACCTAGCAGCAGCAGCAGCAGCAAATAAGCAGCAGCAAATGTACCTCCTCCCCATCTATAACAATAAGAAGGAAAACGCCATATAGATCCAACTCCTGCTGCTGCTGCTATTGCTGCTAATACAAAGGAGACACGGCTGTCTCCTTCTTCTTCTTCCTCCTCCTCCTCTTCTTCTTCCTCCTGCTGCTGCTGTTGCTGCTGCAGCTCCTTCTCCTGCTGCTGCTGCTGCTGCTGGCGAGAAAACGGCAACAAACGGGACCAGCTGAAGGCACATATTCCTCTTCCTCTTCTTCCTGCTGCTGCTGCTGCTGCTGCTGTTGTGCATGCAGAGGGAGATACACGATATCTAGATTGAGCAGTCTGCTGCTGCTGCTGTTGCTGCTGCTGCTGCTGCTGCTGCTTAGGGGGCAGCAGCAAGCTGGTTGGTCTGTCTTCTAAGGAATAAATACATTGCTGCACTACTACATCAAGGGGACGCTGATTGCCCCCCAGCAATTTGCTGCTGCTGCTGCTGCTGCTGCTGCTGCTGGGGAAGAACCTGCCAAGGTATCTTTGGGGAGACAGGTATTTGCTGCTGCTGCTGCTGCTGCCGATACTGCTGCTGCTGCGGCTGCTGCTGCTGCTAATACGTGCCTGGGGTAAGGGAGAGAGACACACAAGTGCCTCATCTGATTTGCTGCTGTTGCTGCTGCTAGGGGAGCTGTCCGAGCTGCTACTCTCTCCCGCTGCTGCTGTTGCTGCTGCTGCTGCTGCTGTTGCTGCAGCAGCAGCAGCAGCAGGTGT